AAAAGAAAAGGATAAAACAACTGCTGTGTTAATTTGGGTCTCTGTAGTCTGATATTTGAATAAGGATTGTTCAGATAAAAGAGAAAGTCTAGGTGGATGTTGTTTGAGGGCTTCAGGGACACATGGAGAAGTTTTTTGGAAGAGGGACAGAGTTTCTGTTATTTTAGATTATGTAATTGACTTGGGAGGTAAGAATGTGACGAGGATGGGGGCGGATCTGTGATCTGGGACAGAACTATGTATTTTTGTCGAACACCAGAGAGACTTCACTGGCTCAGGAGCTGCTATCCTTCCATAATGTGGCTTTACTCAGTGCTAACAGCGTCTCTTGTTGCTTCCATAGTCTGTGGTGAGTATTTTTATACTTGATCTTAGCCAAAAGACTGAGAAGCAATTGTGGTGAGTACTTTTGAAGTACAAATGATGATAGGATGAATTGGATAGACATCCTTGTCATAGAGGCTGGCAAGCATGGATTTAGGACAAAGCAAGAGGAATAGGTCTTCATGTACAGTAGCATTTTCCTTTGGATTTTTTAATTTTTTTTTAAATAATTTTATTGAGAAATAAGTAGCAATAAGACAGCTTTAAGACCAATTAGAAGGACAGTTTCAATAATTAACACATTGCATATAGTTGTCTTCTTAGTGCTTATTCATAGTACAAGATGCAAACATGATATCCTGTCCACAAACACTATTAGTACAAATCTTTCTAGCAATTGAATTAAGAGAATGTAGCTGTGTATCTATCCTCACTATTTTGAATATACAGACAAAATGGTCCTTCATTTGTATCCCCTTTTTTGTTTAGTTTTGTCAGATGTGGGTATTCCATTGTCATTTAAATATTGTAGGTGAGTGAATTCAGCTAAATAGTCCAATATAGTCCACTAGTCCATAATAATAGTGGGTTATCTGTGGGGCTGACAATATCAGAAGTTGTTGTCATCCACATAGCTGACACTGACTAAGGATCTACAAACTGAGGCACAGGGTTTCAGGATAAATCCTGAGGGGATATGACTGACCTTGTCAGATACAAAAGTTACATTTCTTGTTATATAGGTCTTGCTTTTTCTTGTTCTTAACTATCCAGCAGAAAAGTATAAAAAAGAAGTATAAAAGTAAAGCCATATTAATATGCTGTGCTGTAAAATCCTCAAGTCAGCAATTTCCTCTGGCTTTTGAATTGAATTTAGTTACAGCCTATGTGGACCAGACTCTGTCAAGAGCAAGGGAGGATGAATGCTCAGCTGTAGGCACCAGGATCAGAACAACTAAATTTAGCTTATTGGAAATCCATGCCTCTTCTTTGAGGATTTGTGAGAGCCCACTTCGTCTTCCTTTTGATGCATAGTCCTGATCTGGGAGCTTATGGTGGGTGACCTGGAAGAATAATAAAGACATGGACTCTGGAGCCAGAGTGGTGATCTGAATCTATCCCTCAGCTTCTGGACTGCATGTCCTTTGTACAGTACTTGTGTCTGCTTTGCCTGGGTTAGCTCATTTCTAGAGAAGGATGACAATGATACCTACTTTAGAGAGCTCCTATGAGGATGAAATGTGTGGCTATTTCTAAAGCACTTAGCATAGGGTTTACACAGTAGGAAGTAGGAGAAAGGGAAGAATAGAGGAAAAGCTTGATTTAAATGGTAGAGTGTTAATAGGAAATTTACGGTGCAGTCAAGTCCACATATCGGGGTCTAATGGCCCTGAAAATGTAATTTGCTACTAAGCGTTCCCAAGGAGGATCTTTGTCACTGTGTTAGGGACACAAAAGGAAGCAGCAGGATCAGTCAACAGGCAGAGGAAGAGGGTGCACTATGGACATGGGATTTCATTGTGATTTTCTCTGAGTAGAAGAGAAGAAAGTGGAAAAGCTGATGTATGGTTGGCTTCTTGGATTTTAGGGGTATAAGTCCCTGTTTCTAGTGTTCTCAAGCCTGAATCTGGGACATTAAAATACGTGTATGGTGTCCCAGAGTATGACATGCTGAAAATGAAGGTGTGGACTTTGGATTACTTGGATTCAGGGAGCAATAATGCCTCCACTATCATCAAAGCCTCATACCAAAAAAAAAAAAATCAGATATAGAAAATTAAAAGTTATTGAAACATTGCACAACTGTTCAAATAGTTATGCAATAAGTGACCTCCACAAAATCCATATCCTGTTTTGGACAAAGGCACTGAGACTCTGGAGACACATGATCTCCCACTGGCAAAATGAAACACAGTCAAATATTGCTTCCTGAATCCAGTGTCCAAACTCCAATTTTTCCATCTTTAGAAAGTTCACACTGGGTGTTTACAAATCTTATTTGCTTATCTATTAGATGGCTATCTTAACACTAACCCAGAATGGCTTCTCTGAGGAACTGGATATGTATGTCATACACAGTAAGTGCTCAATATGGGCACCTTCCATATGACATAGCAGTGGGAGCTGTATACAGTATTTCTGTTCATAGATCCCACTATCTTATACCACATTTTTATGTTGGACAGTCTGGCTTCTATCTGCTCATTTTAGGTTGAAAGTCATCACTAGTCTAACATGAAACAAGCCATTTCTTTTGACACATTATCTTCCCTTGCCTATTTGAAGCCATTAGCACTCCTGCCAACCCCTCCTATTTTCCCTGGGCTATCCTGATGTTCTGCCTTTCTATTCAGAGCACACCACTCTGGTGTGCGCTCTTTGCCTCATTTGCAGCTATATCTATGCTTCATTTTTAGCCTTTTCTGTTCTTTCACATGAGTCTACTGTGCACTCTCAGCTTCAGGAAGATGAATATGCTTGCTCTGTACCACTTTTTTTCAGTCCTATGGTACCCTCATCCTATGAAATCTTTCCAGAATTCTCACTGACTTCCTCTAATGTGGAGCCAGCCCCATATATCTGTTCTTTAATCTTTCCCTCTCCCTTCCACAATCTCTACATCTGGAAAGGAGGACCAAATCCTCCTTCACAATTCTTCATTTACATTTCCCTATTGCTTCATTATTAGTAAAATGGTTTTATTTTCATTGTAGAAATCTTGAAACATATAAACAAAGCAATCTCCAATATTGGAACCCAAGGGTATTTCAATTCACATGCTTTCCAGGAAGGTCATATCTAGTATGATTAATAGTATTTAGCTATAATATTAAAGTAAAGAACTATGGAAATGATTTTAATGAAAAGTATGTACATGTGATCATAAGTTCATTTCCATAAATACTTTCCAGTTATTGACTATTCTTATGATGCAGATGTTCCTCAACTTACAATACACAAATATCTTGATAAACTCACTTTTTAAAAGTTGAAAAATCATAAATTAAAGCTTCATAAGTTGAGGACTGTTTGTTCATGTCCCCTGAAATTTTATCTTGCTGTTATTTGTAATAATTAGTAATAACAGCAGCATATCATTGACAATAAATAACAGCAACAGACCATAACTGCTCACATTATGGAATCATTACAGAAATTCCTCATTTCATGACCAAGTTCTAGTCCAGCAAGTAGGTCCCTTAAATGAATTGGTTGTTAAATGAATTGTATAAAATATTCAGAATCAAAAAGTCAAAGGAAACTTCTATTTGATAACTTTTCATACTTTTTATAATTCTTACATGCAGCATTATAATGTGCAACGGATCATAACATTATAATACTATACAGTAAAATCAATGAAAATTATAGTACTCTAAAAACAAGGGGTACTGTACAAAAATAGCACTAGGGCTCTAAATGCAAGAAGTGCAGATCTCCACACACAAAAAAACATGGTATGTAAGTCAGATCAGCAGGGTGTAAGTCTGAAGATCAGATCTTGGTTGCAAGTCTAAACAATTGTTAAATAGGTAGGTCATTAAACAAGAAATGTCTACATTGATAACATGAGATATACTATTTTTTAACCTGCTTTGTAATAGAGCTTCCAATGTCATTGACTATTCACTCCTCTATCAGACAAAATCTATATTATTGTTCTCTTTCCTAGCAAGCCACTGTAGAAGGGTGTTAATATACTGCTTTATTCTGAAGCAGGGAAGCAGGTGGATGAATGAATATGAATCATGCATTATGTGTAATGATTTGATATTTTAAGATTATGAAGCCCAGGAAAGACAAAGTCCATTGGGTAGTCATGACTGGGAGGCTCACAATTTACCTTATTCTTTTAGGAAGTTTATGTCAGTTTACTCTGGCCTCCAAGCATGGGGAAACATGATTGATGAGAAAGGTGCAGAGAGATGAGAAACAATTATGTGCTCCTCTCCAATGGAGTAAATGTTTCAGACAGAAAGGATTACCATGCTGAGAACTTCTAGAATATTCTGGAAGCTCATTGTGTACTTTAGTAGAAAACTGTCCCTGCTCCTTATCAGTCAAGCATAAATCTTTGGATTGGAATTTAAGGCCTGACCTGCTAGACACCACTTTACTTCAAGATTATCTTCCACTCACTATAGACTCCATCTAGTCATACTCAGGTTTGTTTTTTCTTTCTTCTTTCTTTCCTTTTTTTTAAACCAGGGATTGAACTCAGGACCTTGCACTTGCCAGTTAGGTGCCTATGACACTGCACTATATCCTTGATCCAATCTACTCATCTTCAAAAGTCATTTACTCCTTTCCAACCTGGTCCTGGGTTGGTTGTCTTTATGTCTCTTCATATCATCTTTCTTCTTTAACTCCCTTTATGCCATTCCTTGTTCACTCTACCTCCTCTGTGTTGATATCAGTCTGACTTCACTGCCTCCTCCAACTTCTTTAGCACTTTTCTGTTTCTAAAATCACAGAAGTTCTTGCTTCCTGACTTGAGACATAGTATGTGCATAACTTCTGCTTCCTGAAAGGTATCACCTCCCTACAGAACTTGGGTCACCACTGGGCATCACATCAAGAGTGAAGCTCAGCACCCAGACACTAATGGATAGACACACACAGAACTCATAGATAGGAAAACAAATATATTTTCCATTCCAGGCAGCTCCTCTCTTTTTGTGTTTGTTTGAGCCTGTGTACTTTTACATCTCCTATTCTAATGTATTCATTAAAGTAACCCCCTAAGGAAGGAAAGATATTGTTTCTTATTCACATATTACTGAAGAAACTGAAGCCTAGAGAGTTGTGGGCACTTATCTGAGGTCACCTGACTAGAAAGTGGATGTAAATTTTATCACTTTGTCCTCTGATGGGTCCTCCTTTCCTCTCCTTGATCAGTGGAACACCTACCTTCACCACCTGTGGTTGATACAGTACATGGCAAAGTCCTGGGAAAATATGTCAGCCTGGAAGGATTTGAACAGCCTGTGGCCATCTTCCTGGGAGTCCCTTTTGCCAAGCCCCCCCTGGGATCACTGAGGTTTGCACCTCCTCAGACTGTGGAACCATGGGATGATGTGAAGAACACTACCTCTTACCCTCCTATGTAAGTTGGTGTGGTGACCTTTGATATCTTTTCCCAATGGTGTTTTCTCAGAATGACATAGGAAAGGGTGAAGACAACCCTCCAATTGGTTTATTTTCTTTGGAATTCTTTAGAATACTTTAGACTCTTCAAAGTGTTCTCACAATATAACAGCTTTCTAGAGGCCTTCATTCTGCACAAATTATTAAACACCTGATACATTCTAAGCATGATCTAGATGCTGAGAATCCATAAATAAAGCAAAAATCCCTATCTTCTTTGATCTTGTATCCTATGGAGAAAAAGAGATAATGAACAATATGCAGGTAATACTTGAATCATGTACATGGAGAATGTGCTAGAAGTGTTAAAAATAAGCAGTGGAAGAATTCCTCCCACATGAGGAAGAAAAGTAATCATTTTGTCTATTCTCTTGCCTTGGGCCTTGACTTGGCTGGGACTGGATGGGTGAGGAGTTATAGAGCATAAAAATGTTTATTTACCCAGTTCAGACTCACAGTTGTGTATTAATTCCTAGACACACTGAGTCAATGAGGGAAAATTCCTGACTTTCCAGATGGCCTCGTAGCTACTCCCAATGCACCCTACACACAAACAATATCAGTTCAGAAATTATTTTTCTCAGCAGATTACCTCTGCAGATTCATTGGGTCTCTATTCTGGCTTCCTTCCTTTCTTTTAAAAATAATATTCATTGTTCTTACTTCCTGATTGCAAAAATAATACAGACATATAGGAGAAAAGCTGGATAATGTAGAGAAGCAAATATGAAAGAAATAAAACCAGGCATTAGACTGCCACTAAAGGGTAATTGCTGTTAGTATTTGAGATCATGTTTTCCAGTTTCTTGTACTTTTCTCTCCATTGAAAATGGATCAGGATCAGAGTGTGGATGACTTTCTTTTCACTGATCAGTGTTACAGAAATATTCTATGCCATCAAATATCACAGCCTGACATTTATTAGTTGTATACATGCTGATATTAAAAGGTTATTTGTGAATATTTTCTTAAACTTATTTAGAGTCATTAAATAGCTTTTAAAGTTCTTCCAATTTTAAATAACATTATATTGAACAATTTTAGCTAGATCAGCATGCACATTCATGAAAATTATATGACACATTGTAAGAAATGACATTTAATTTTTGTGTAATTTTCCTCCAGATATATGTAAGCTGTGTACATTCCTTTAATTCTTTTAAGAAAACTTAGATTCAGAGGACTTGCTGATATTTGAGTTTATTAAAAGAATGACTTTGGCTTTTGTACAAACAACATAACACAATAATCATAAATATAATTTTGCCCTTTATTTTGAGATTACCTAAATACTAGAGAAGTTGAACTCTCTTTCTGTTTTGACATTTGAATCTCTTTTTAAAGAATCTTAACGATGTATGGGAAATTCTTAGTTTGGAAATACAACTGCCTTGTCTACTGTCTCCACCTCTGCCACATGACAGCTATTGTCCTGGACCTGGGAGCCTCCATGAATTCTTCTTTACCCTGGGGCAGTGCCTACCACTGATTTGACTGCCATCTGAGAATATTGCTTATAGTGTAGTTGTAAATATGCACAGTAAATAGCATAAATCTTGGTTGATCTTGATCAGACTAATCTTTCTGTATCTCATCTGTAAAATGATGTTAATAATAGAATCCATGTGTGAAGTTGATCTGAGGATACAGTGTGCTGTCACTACAAAGAATTTCAATCAGTTCTTGTTATCCTCTGAACACTTGAGAGTTCTGGAGATCTAAACCATTTCAAGAATATATAGAGGTGCAATCCTTCATAAAACTCAAGGTTAAACTTTTGTGTGTGTGTGTTTTAGGGAAGTGTCTACAAGGTGTTCAGGGTCTCACCACTAGATTGGACTCATAGTGATCCACCTGTTTATAGCCTCCCAAGAGCTGGGACTACAGGCTCGAGTCACCACACCCAGTCTCAATTGCTGACTCAGCATGCCGTGGGGGCGGGGCTAGCATGGCAGGCTGGGGGATCAAACCCCATCCCCTTCGCCTGCTTGCAGGCACTTACCAAACTTTTATAAGACCTGTTTTGATTATATATTACCTGCTTCACAATTGAGCCTTATTCATGTCATAGCTTTTTGGCAGTATGCACATTTGTGAACAACTGTTTATAACAATTCAATACTCAAAGAGGAAAATTAGATGAAAATTTTTAACAAGCACTTCGAGAACTTAGTACGAATTGCAGTCACTTTCATTGAACCAGATATTGATGCAATAGTCTCACAAAACAAAGTAAAATATTTTACTAGATTTGTTTTATTTGCTGTCTTATTTTATTTATTTATTTTAATTTATTTTATTGAGAAACAAATAGTAATGAGACAGTTTCAAAAC